TCAATTACCTTTTGTCTTCAATTTCAGAGGCCTTTATTGAACCCACAGATCAGGCTTTTGTGCAGGAAGCAGTTTCATATTGAATTCAGGAACACGTTCGTGTGAATATTTCTCATACTTATACCTCAATTTGTTAAGGTTGTTTAAATTTTCTTGGTTAATTTGCTTCTTGACACGTCCTTTTCAGTGTACTTTCTCAACTGCTTATTTTTACAAGAGATGTCTTTCTTTCTAACCTCTATTCTTTTCCATCTGCTCTTGAGTAATATCTTCCTCTATTTGATAGCGTTGACTTTCCACTTTGCAGCACTTTATATTTTCTATATGACTCCTTTGCCATCCTTTGTTCATTTCAGGAAGAGAATAAGAGCCAATGTTCTCGTGAAGGACATTTGCTCTGTTTTCCTCAATAGGAAATTGAGGATTTTCTTTGGCCTGTCTTTCATATCAATAACTCTGTGTTCCTCTGTTTTTGGACTGGGTGTTGATACCAGTTTTAGCCAGATTTAGCACGATCAGTTGTATCTCAGCTTTGACATTCTGGGGAGCGCACAGAGGCACAAAACCAAAGCAGCAACGTTCACGGCCTAACACCCCACGATATGCTTTGAATCAGTTGGTTATTAATGGAAAATGGAACAGAGCATAGGTCTTATTCCTTTGATATGATCTCCCTCCAACCCAAACGACCTCTGTTTCAAGTACCTATAACTGACTCTGCTCTCTAATAGTTACAGTCTTTGCTAGGAATGCAATATGGAGAAGAAAAGGCTTTTTACACACTCTTGAATGTGCCAAGGGGTTGTCCTTAGGTGTATTATAGCAGCAAGGGTCACATATCTGTCACAGATGTGATAAAACAAACAGCCCAAACTAAACTTCTGGCTGCAAAAAGCCACTTTGCAGTTTGTCTAGGGCCACTGTCACTCTGTGTTGCATTTTTCACATCAGAAATCTGTTATTTTCCACTGCCTGAGGACCGTGTAGCCATTTACAGAACACACTGACATTCCAGAACAAGTCATGTACCTTTGGCAGTGGCTCAGATGGCTGGGATCTCAGGAATAAGCAATAAAAGGGAAGCTCTTGAGAACAATAGCGTCTTTGCTAAGGACAGGTACATTTTTAACAGTGGCTGAATATGACTGAAAATAATAGTTTGACACCAGACCATTGAGAAGGAATACAAAGGACGCCCCTCCTAATCAACAAGCATGCTTATAAATACAATTTATCTTTAGAAAAAAATAGCCAAAAGAAGTTCTGCCTTGGAAAGTACTTTTTTTACAAGAGCTTGGTTTTACTGGATCATTTGTTATCTTAGATGGTCCTGTTCTATTTTGAATGTATCAAGTTAATTATTCAGATAATTATCTCCCAATCAGTGCATTTGAGAAATTATGACATCCTTGGAAAAACCCCAAGCCCACAATACCCATAGGCTTTAAATCAGAGGTGGGGAAGTTGTGTCACGTTTAGATATAGAAATGGCCTCAAAGGCACTTTTGTTTAAAAGCCTCCAGGGTAAACAGAAACGCTTCACTTAGCAGCAGGGGCAAAGCCTGTCTGAGCAGGAAGCTGACAGTAGAAGATAGTCTGCAACAGGCATGGAGTTTATACAGCCTTGAATGCTGACTATGAATTTGAATTGACTATGTTTTGCTGAGCAGCTTTGAGCTACTTTGGTTGCTGCATTTTCTGGAAGGGGAGCTTTGCTGACTAGCTGGGTAGTAATATTAGAAAGAAAAGAAGAATTAACAGTCTGGAAAAAAAAAAAGAGCTACTTATACAGCATGTGCTGCAATCCCACCAGAATACTGCTAGTAGCTAGCTCTTCATGAGCAGGTCACCAGCCACTTTGGTCCCACAGAAGCCCATTAACTTAAAAAAAAAGAGGTCTTTTAAGACAGGAACAAAAAAGACAACATAATTAGGTAGTCTGGTTCATTGGAAGTACTTAGGCTGTTCTCAACCTGGACAAGATTCCTTTTTAGAACAATTACACATTCAACAGCATCTTGGGTGACTTCCAGTTCCAGTAATATTGCTGTAACATAGGAAAGAAAGATGTGTTTGTCTTAAGCATTTTCTTCTTTGACCATTCAGCAAAAGGAACAGAAAGATTACAAGAGGTAGTGTGTTTAGCAAACCTGTGCATAAAACAATCTTTCATAAGAATAAAATGCTGCATTTACAGCTGTAAATGTATACACCCATATAATTTAAAAATATAAAGATACTTTTACTGTGTTCCGGGGCTTGCTCTTTTTTAGTTCAGAGAGTGAAATGCTCAAGTGCTGGACTTTAAGCGGTTAACCTTATTGCATTGGCAAAACCAAAACATTTATGCAGCACTGGGCTTTTAACTCAGCATAAGTGAGAAAGTTAAATTCAGCAGTTAGCCTAACCAAAGTGCAGTTGTGTTCTTCACACTGTGTACGTTTTGACTGGCTTGTAAAAAGAGTGTAGAAGTTCATGACTCTCCCTAGCAGCTTCTTCAGATGACTGAGGAAAACATGATCTGCAACATATCTGGCCACAGCCTGACTCCGAATGAGAAGACAGGTTTTCATCAGACAGTGGAGAAAAGTCGAAGTCAGCTACCTGGAAAGGGAACAACAAATATATAATTCTTAATTCAGATCCTACTGTATCAATTGAGTCCAGCAAGAATACTTTGGGGCAGAAATGGCACTTAGTCCTTAACCAGTTTCAGTCAGTCACCAACTTAAATAGACTTCTGCACACCTGGCTCACAGGCAACCTCTCTAGAGGTGTATTATTCACACGTAAACGCATGAAGTAAAGTGCACTAGGTACTTCCCAAAGGGCCATAAAAGGTACTTTTGATTTAGGAGCTTATACTTATTACAAATATGAAGCAAGTGAAAGAGATGGAAGGAAGCTGGGAAGATAGTGGTCACATACTATGGACAGATGACAAGTTAGTGCCTCTTTAGGTAACACACCCATCCTTTTAATTATCTTGTATCCTCTCTCGCTATCTCCCTGCTTTCTTTCATGTAACCACTCTGAGGTAGATCCTCTGTAAGGGATACTTCAATGCAAGTACCTGCTTGGGAATATTAACAAACTGCCCATGGCAAGTTGAATTATAGTTACAGTTCACAAGAAGCCAGAAGCATGCCTGTTGCTTAAACTGTTTGCCTACACTCTTCAGATTTTTTCATGGAACAGATCAGACATATCAGGGAAATACTCCCTCCCACTCTGGGGATTAAAGAAATGACAAGGCTGAAAGGAATCCAGCTCAAAGAGTAATTGAATACCTCCACGAGATCTTTTTGTTGTGTGTTACTTCGAAAGGTTGTGTACAGCACCAATCCTAGTGTCACTGAAACCAGAGTGATGCAGAGCAGGACAAAGAAGGCCGGGTGGATCCCTAGGAAAGAGTACAGGGGACATTCCTGGAGTGATACAATACACTGAGAAGAGGCAACAGTGAGAAGGAAACAATGTTTTAGGAGAACTTTTCATATTTTTAGAACAAAGGACATGTGTGTAACAGGGAATAAATTTTTCAACTCAGATTACTTCAAGCTTTTCTGAAATCTCAGAAGTGGGAATGAAGGATTGTAAGGGTCTCTTCATTTTCACCCCTCTTTTTCCTTGAACAGCCTCACCCCCCCCCCTTCCCACCCCAGTCACATATGTTAGCCCTAACTCCCCAAGGTATTTGTACCTCTGTGGTAAACCAAGAGGTACTTTCAGTAGGAAGGAACTTCATCTCCACAGCAGCTCCAGCAAAGAGGATTTCCACACTTGGTCCTGAATGCACACCAGTGCCTTCTGGAGTGAGCTGCCCTGTCTGTATACAGGTGCTGGCCCACAGTGGGATAGTAGAACCATTCTGTATCACAGCCTGGCTGCCCTTGGCCAGGTCCTCTTCACTTGGCCACCTGACCACTTTCTCAGATGACTGGGTACATGAGGGACATGTGTGAGCATGCATGGAGGAGCCAGCAGGGACTGCTGACTGGAGAGACAGAAACCTGTAATGAAATGGAGATCTAAAAAAACCTACCCTTAAAAAAAACATAACTAAACTAAACAAAAAGAATTGAGGCTGCTTAATTAAGGGAATGTTACAAACGCATGTGTTTTTCTAGCTATCCTCTCTAACTACAAGAGCCAGAATATTTAGACTGAAAAATATGTAATTTAAGTAACTCAGCCCAGGAAACTCACTAGCTTCAAGACACACTTGAGACTACGGTACAGAGCAATTACAAGAGGCACATCATAGGTTCTCCTTTCTGTTCCTGCTTCCTATGCTTTTGGGGATCCATACCAGTTTTCAGAAACCTCATCTGCTGGCTAGTAGTTGTCCCTGACACATTTGAGAGTCTTGGTTCCTGTATGGGTGGGAATGTCTGTCCTGCTCAGCCTAGCTGTTCCTCACCTGTTGGCCACACTTTGATTTCACGGTACGTCTGCAGCATTGTCACGCCATTCTCCACTCTGACACTGAGGCAATACTGTCCAGCATCACTGAAGGTATGGCTGAGATTGTAGCAGGAGCCATTAATTACCACCAGATGGCATTTGTCACCTTCCAGTGGAATGCACTCGGACTTTATGAGCCAGCATAACGCCAGCGGTGGGCTGAAATGACAAGAGCAAAAAAAAAGGAAAAAAAAGTAGGTGAAAACTTTGCAAAAATTTCAGCTAAGAGCTGATGAATCACTTGGTTAAAATAGATTTTGAAATAAGGAAGTTAATCTACATAGAAATAGAGAAGCAATTAACTGCTCAGGTGTTTGGTTTATAGCATTTTTCAATTGAAAAAAGTTTTTTGCGACGGTTCTATAAAAGCAAGCCTTTCAGCTGAGAGCTAAATACCTGCGTGGGTCATAGGAAGGCCATTGTGTGTAGAAAACCTGTAGTCCTGCTCCAATAAAGATAAAAGGAATCTGTTTTCCCCTGCACTTCCAAGGAAGTATAGGTTGTTTTTCCTTTGTTCTTCTCACACAGAAGAAATCACTGTCTGTGCTACTGAAGCACATCCAAGACTCTTCTGATTAAAAAAAAACCCACAACCAAAACTGGAAAGAATGTAAGATGAGCTCTGTACAATGGACTAAAAGCTGGAAAAGGTAAATAAATTACAAGTATCACAGTATTCCCTTACAATGACAAAAAGGGGTTTACTTGCTATCAAGCAATCTAGGTGCAATCCACTTTATGGCCATTTGTCTTCTCACCATGTCTAGTTGATGACTTTTATTTACATTTTCAGACCCTTGTTCCAACTGATTCTTCTTGGCCTCACCTTGTGCACTATGGACTTTGATTCTGACAACAGAGAGAGCTTTTCCTTTATCCCATCTTATTAGTATTTTGTTCTTTATTGCTTTATGAGATTCTCTGCTAAAGAAAGCAGCATGTTTAAGTGTTTAGCTCATTTTCTAGCTTTGGTTTTGATAGCCCATGTCTCAAGCCTTTGTCCTTACTTCTCTATCATAACTTCTATTGCATCAGTTCCAGTCCTGTGGCTAGGATGTTAGGTCAGGTAAACATTGTCCATCCTAAAAACAAGCCTGCTTTTTTCCCTTTTTTTCTTCTTTTTTTCTTCTCTTTTTTGTCCTTTTTTTTTTTAATAAATCCAGCATTGGCTGAAACAGCTTGCAGTAGAAGAATGTGAAAGTGTCATTCTTTGGAGAATAACTTCCATGGCAATGGAGTTTTTATGGTGAAAGAGCTTTCCTGAGTGTTACAATGGTATTTAAAATGCTTCTGCCATAAAAAAAAGGGTCTGATATGTTCTAAATATTGCAGCTTGAAAGAGCTTATGCTAGGATCAAGGTGCTCATGACTATCCTATATTCCTGTCATCCTCACTGCATGGAGCCTCTCTGTTTTATTCATCTTGTGATAATCCTAACTTTGCCAAAGCTATTCCCCAAACCCATTACTCCCATGTACCGGTCAAGGATCACTGTTATGCAACAGGACTTTGAATACAGACTAATTTAATGGTGGGGAAATTGGTGAAGGAGAAAAATTCAAAAAGAAATTTTAAATTGTAATTTTTCCCGCTCTCTTTGTCTGGCTAGTTCTCTTTTAACATTCTCTTTATAAAGATATAAAAATATTTCCTTTATGTAGGAGGATTCTGCTTTTCTGCAAAGATGCAGACTGTTTCAGGATCTTAGTTCATGGAATTTCAAGTCAGGCAAAAGCAATATTCAACACTATTTTGTTCACAGGAAATTTCTTTTTTGTTTTAAGAAACAGTTCTGTGGGGTGCAACTGGCTATTTTAAGGAAACAATGGGGAAAAACACTTAAATAGACAATGCTTTTTGGGGAAAGAAGTTGTGTTTGCTACTTACGTGCCATTGATATGAAGAGATAAACTCAAGTTTTCCATTATGTGAGTCTCTCTGGAGCCCACTACATTAATACTTTTAACAGCATCTGAGAGGAAGAAAAAAAAGCATGTTACAATCCACATGTAAACTTGAAGTTCAGTTTTTCCAGTGAAGGTTTGTTTTGATAGACTTTGTAGATTTTAGCTCCATCAGTCACAAAGATAATAGTACTGTCCTCACACTCAAAAAGGAAACCTACCAGTAAAGCTGTTGTAAGTTTTCTGAATGTTTCGTGATTTCTTTTTAATATATAATCAACTACTTTATGAATCCTTTACATTATTATTTTTGTGTTTGTTTACTCCTGAAGCTGATCAAATCAATGAGACTTTTCTAATGGTTATTTTAACTAATAAATTTTTTAGAGATAGCTGGCATAAATTAAACAAAAAAATCCTCCATAAGTTACAGTAAACATTTTATTTAAGTTTTAAGTGTATGTGACTTCTACAAAAGACAGTAAAACTTAGGGTAAATGAAAAGGAAACAGAAAAATTTTTGTATTTCCCTCATTTTTTTTGCACTAGAACAGCACTAAGTCCATTTTGCAATGGAAACGTTTCATTGAATAATGTTGACCAGTTCTTGCGTGTGAGACAATGCTGAAGTTTTATTATTGCATTAAAGCTAGAATGTATCTGTACATATATAGCAAGTTCTGTTTTGAGTATGCAAAATGTTTTATAATTACCTAGCAGCTCCAGAGCAGAGCTAAAATCACCAGTTTTCTGCACTGTTTCTCTTTCATGTATGATGCTCCCAATTTGCTCCCATTCAGCTATGACTTTCAGATGCACCGAGCGATTCCCCATGGTGGAGCAGTTAGAGTAGACAAAAGGTTCCTTGGTAATCTGATAAACTCTGTGTGCAACATGAAAAGATTTAGAATCAAGATCGCCTTTTACCAAGCCCTTGCATATTTGTGATTTAAAAAGGAGCAAGCTGGAATATATTTTCTTTACAGACAATGCTACAGTCAGCTGTGATTCTAATTCTACTTTATGTCCATATCAACGAAGATTAATGTCTGTGGCGTTAACAATAAAACTACAATCAGTATAAGACCCAGAGTATATTTATGCAAAGAAAACTTTAGTTTAGTCAAAAAACCCTAAAGATAATGCTACAAGAATTCACAAAATGGACTAGGAATAGTCAGTAAATGATGAAAACTACCTTTATAGCAGGTGGACTATAACCTAACTGAAGCACTAAGGGAACTGGGGGGGGGGGGGGAGGGAGGGAGAAAGAAAGAAAAAATTTAGTATTCAGAAGCTAAAGCTTACATTTCTATTTGCATACACTTATTAGTATTGGACTAATTAGTATTGGTAATGTATAGTATTGATATTGGACTAATAGTATTGGTCATCTTCAGAGAAGGAAAATAACGGAATGTTTTTTTTCCTCCCCACTACAGAGTGGTTTAAGGGCTAAATACTACCCATGGTTTTATTTCTGACAGTTCTGAGCTATGTTGCTTCCCTCCCCACTCCATTTCGTTATTAGGTAAGCATTAGGTGTGTGTTAATGTGCGTCTCCGTGTTGTTTGAGAGACCTCTCCTCTTTCAGCAGCTCCTCACCCAAGCTGGAGTGTATTTATGGGTAGCTGGTCACAGTAACAGCTACTTACTGCCCAACCAACCACAAGACAATATACTGCTTCCATTTTCCTTAAGTGCACAAATTATTCCCATATTCAACAACAACAACCTGCTAATGGAGATCTGCAGGTGTAATGATGTTTTAAAATAACAATTTACAGTAAGTTACTTTTTCCATTTCATTCAGTTCCGTTCAGCTCATTGCACACACAGTAATGCACCTACGCAAATATTTGAACAAGAAATGTAGGTCCTTAGAACATCACCATTTTGTGAGTAGGCAGCGACTTCTGTGCCAAAGTTTTTGTAATTCCCCTGGTTGACATGTCTACGTACCAACTGACAAAGGTGTATGCTTTGTCCTACGATTTAATCAGAATTTTTCTCTAAATTAGCATCTGAATCACAGCAATCTTGGATACTTCTTAAAGCAAAGTAACTGCACCTACCCATCTCCAAAATCCCAGTTGTAGACAAACGATGCTGACTTGAAGTAATGACTTGGATCATGCAGACAGAAAGAAATCCGGGTCACGGCACCCATAGAGGAACTAGCACCACGTGTGATAAATCTACTGTCTTCTATCTGGGCAATGGTGAGGTTCCCTGTGATAAATTCTGCAGAAGGATAAGGTGGAGAAAGAATGACAGCATATATTACTTTCATAGAACACTCTGTATAAGCATCAAAACATGATTTAAAATGTACTGCATAAGTCTTTCTGTGTCCTAGTCCAAGTGGTTTAGTGTATTTTACACCTATTACTCAGTGTTGTTACATGTTAGTGAGGCAGAGAGAGTAAATTACTTATTTAGGGTTATACGATAGGTCATGATAAAGCTTCTAAAAGGACTCAGATAAATAATCCTGGAGTGATTGAGGTCTATATCAATTTTTACTACTGATTTAAAAAGAACTGGGATTAACCATCAAGTATCTAGACCAAGGGATTCAGAATCAAACCAGTGCACATGCCTTTCATGTTTGGGGTGGTGGTTTTTGTTTGGGTTTTTTTATGTTGCTGTTTTCTTTTTTTTATTTTTAAGTTTTAGCTGCTTCCACAGAAATAAACATTTGCCTAATAAGAGATGTGCTATATATTCTGAATACAGAAAGGATGAGATTTCGATTTCTGCAAGAGATCCTATGTCAAAGTTTGTTTACAAGGACTGGCAAAGGTTAATCTAAAAACCCTGTGAATAAAGAGGTATTATGATTATTATCAGCTCATTCTAAAATTAACAGGCTATTAATTACCAGTAACAAACTCTTACCCTGTTAACAATTCATTAAATCTGTTTAACTGTTCTCTTGATGATACACAAATAAGAATGACAATTACTGCTTCAGAATGGGGCTGGTAATGCAGAACTGGAGCCGTAATTTATGAGTTATTGGCAACTACCATAGGGCCCCTGTGGGTGCCCTGGCTTGGGGAAGGCAGAAGGGTACAATGGGCTCTTCCCTTTCACGGCTATAGAAGGCTTCTATCCCTTTTGCTTCTGGCATGAGAACATAAGACAATGCAAAGTGAGAAAGGAATAAGTAGATATTCAGCAGGCAGCAGTTCTTAAGAGAGAAAAGATCTCATGTATACTTTTATAAAGACTTATCCAATAAGCCTGGTGTTTCTCAAAGAAAAATTTCAACAGCTGTTCCCCAAAATGTCAGCTATGCCCTATGGTTAGTGCTCCTCATGCACATCCTTACCTTTGGCTGGGAGCTGGGTCTATTTTGGAGCGAGTAAGTAGAGCACTGGGACATGTGGTTGGAGGAACGTGGCTACCACTCTCTGAAAGAAGAGACTGTGGGAAGCTGCCAGGTAATATTTCATGTCGATCCTTGTATCAGAGGTTAACCATACCGCATCATTGGTCAATTTGTCAAAAAATGCATGTTTGTGGTTATGAATATTCCCAGTAAGCTGAAATTGCACTTAGCAGTATTCGGAAATGCAGCCATGACTTCACATCCAATTTCAGTACGCTCAGTCAGAACTTTAAAAGAAAATGTAATGGCTCTGTTGTGCTGATGGCCTAAGTTTTTGCCATGCCATGCAACAGGGAAAATCAGATTGTCACTGCTGCTGGTTATCCTAACTTTAGGACTAGAAATACTGGGAAGCAGCACAGGAAGCATTGTTTTAGGAGTCTGGACATCACTGAACAATGCTAATGTATGAACTGCAGCTATTGAGGCATCTGGCTTTTAGTTCAGTTGCTCTTAAGGCACAAGAAAACATGGGCAGGATCACACTTGTTTCCTGGATGTAGGTAGACTACAACATGGCCCAGTTAGTACAGTGCCACCCAAAACCACCCTCAAAGGGCTACACAAATCAAGTTCTGTTGGCAGAAGCTGTCTTCATGCCTGGTTTTCATTCAAGGCAGCGAGCACCCTGATCTATACCGACTTCCTGAAGATGTAGAAGTTGTAAAGCCATTTTACCTGTAATCCGGAGCACGGTGACATTTCTAGCAATCGGCCGACATAACCAACAGTTTCTGTTAGTCACCCAGACAGATACAGGAAAAGTCCCAGGAAATTCACCAGTGACATTAATCACGGAATTAAACTGCTGCTCAGATTTCTCTATCAGAATCAGAGGAGCATAAATCCAGTTGAAGTGATACAAGTCTGATGCGGCACTGTCATTCTTTATACTTAGACTGGCGTGAACAGTAGCTTGAGCTCCTGTTGTGATGGGCCCATTGTTGGTTATTTCCAGACCATAATCCTCTGTGGAAATCAGAAGAAAAACAAACAAACAAACCTTGTTGTACTGCATTTTTTATTTGTTTATTTACGCATATTTACTAGTCAGTTGTGGTTATGTGACTCACAATGACACTCATCCCAGCAAAGACTTTACCACCTTTTTTTTTTACTATTCAAAAACCTGAAACAGAAGCTGTTGCACATATATGAGTTCAAACAAGCTGCATTAAACAACATGTTACAATGCATCCTAGAAATGTTAGTAGTAGAAGGGAGCTTCAGACCAGAACATCACAAAAACTTTGATGAGCTTTTATAGGCAGGGCTGGGTGCTGGCTGTCAGTTCAGTGTCACTAGTGATCTAACATGGTCACTAAACTTGCAGCTGAGGGAAGAAAGTCAAGCTCAGCTCTAGTCTCTGTCCTGAAAAAAATGAACTTTCAAACTCAGGTAACATTTCCTCCAATAGATCTCTTTGTCACATCTGTTGACCCATAAGTCTCCCCCATCTTCCTGCTAACTGAACAAAAAAACTTCAGTACCAGCTTCTTCTACTCTGTGGTCCACCATTGACTTCCTTTTCCAGGAAGGGATCAAAAATCCCAATGTAAATGAGACTTGTACCATGCCCTAGTGGCAGATCAGTTTACTCCAGGAAGGCAAAAACAGGGTTCTTGCTTTCTGACTTTCATGTCTGGAAACAGCAAGGCATGAGAAATGCAGGACCTGTGACACTGAACCATCCCTGCTGCTCTGGATTGGTCACCATTATCTTCTCTGCCATGTTTAAACAAGCTACTTACTTCAGCTCTTACAACTGCTGCAACGGGTAGAGCGTGAGTGCAGTTGGGTTTTACAGAAAGGATACAATCAGTTTTTCCAAAAAATAGCAGTGCAACAAGATTAAATGATCTGCATGTGTTAACAACAGCAACAAGAAAACCCAACCTCAGAACAAAAGGAAAGGCAACAATCCCTGAAAGTCGTGAATTAGGGCAGAGCTGGGAACAGGATCTGGTTGTTTGCCTCCAACATAGAGCATCTTCCCTCCCTCCATCAGCGCTCTGCCTGGCTACCCTGTCACTGGTGAGCAATGGGGCAATGCTGGGCAGAGAAGCAGAGCTGGGGGCGGTTCCCATGCTGGTAACCTCTCCTCTCTTTCAGCAGGCACCAAACTGCTAACAGGGACCTGAATCTTTGAGCTTCAGAAATTGTACTTCTCACTCATTCATGACGTGGAAG